GCTGGGATAAATGAAGAGGTCTGGAGTGAAGCAGATGCCCTGTTTGACACTATCTTCAAAAATCATGTGTCTGATTATGGCTCCTTGATTTGAAAGAAAATACTAAATCAGCAAAACAAATGTTTGAAGAGGGTTTGAGATCTGTACAGCATTATGGTTAACATATATGCTTCAGCAAATCCCCATGTGTAGAAAACTCTTGGCTTATGTCTCCATCTGCACTTTTTTTTTTATTTTGGCTGCAGCCAGGCACACTAAATAGTGATTAAACAAAAAATTAAAATTCTGTTTTTGTGCATTTGGCGTTTGAACGCTGATCAATTGCTTTGGCGGCGTGTTAAGTAACAGTGTGGTAGACAACAGAAGGGGCTTATTTACAGCAATCTGTCTAAATCCATTTTCAATGTATTGCTTAATATGCCTTTCTACTTTAGTTCATTTTCAGTTTTTTAAAAATGAAGGCTGGAAACAGGCAGGAGAACAGTTTAAGATATTGCTGGAGAAGTAATCACTCCTTAGTGGTAAACAACTTTCAGTTCTTAAGGGAAAGAAAATGTGCTTGAGCTGAAATAGGACTTATGGGCTTGTTGGAGGAGATACTGGATGGAATTCAATGGCTGGTGCACTTACATAGCCTGACTAGATAATCATAATGAAACCTTCACGCTTTGAAATCTGCTTTTTACGTGTTATTTACAAGTGACCATTTAAAAAAGCAGCTGTATTTTTGCCAAAATGGGAAGCTAACACAGAGCTCTTTTGTAGGGATAGAAATCCACATCCATAATGTGAATTTACCCTAACCATGCAGAATTGACAGCTCCAATGTTCAAACAATGGTCACTGCATTCCACAGTTAAAATGCACATAAGGGGGGAATAATGGTTCTACCTCCTGCTCTGCAGTTAGAGTTAATGAGAAATTAGGATGAGAGTGGAAATTGAGATGAAATACAGCATTACATGTATGACATAACTCTCCATAAATGAGATGCTTGTTTAAGAGTTAAAGAAAAAGTCAGTCCTAGGAAACTTGCTGTTTTGCAGATTGCTCTGATACCACAGTCTAGAGCATTTGTTGAAGGAGTAGCATCAACTTACGTAATTTGCATAATTGAGTCAAATCCCATGCAGCATCCCTGAAGGAAACCACTAAAAAAAGCAACATTCTGGTCCTTGTATGCTGTGTCTGGATTTCTAGAGCCTCAGACATCTTTTACAAAGAAGGAGGGGAAAGCAAGAAAGAAGGAAAAGAGCTTCCAAAATTACATCAATGTCAGCAACCTGCCCATTTTCCCAGTGCAAGGGACTATGGGGACATATGTGCACATCCTTCCTCTGCCCCTGGTGGCATCGTGCCCGTAACCTTACACACAGCTCTGCTGGTAGTGATGGCATGAGATAAGAACTGCAGTCGAGGAGGGGGAAGGCAAATGTTTTATGGTTCACACTGATGTTTTTTGGTGGTCTGCTGAAATTAGCTTGGTGTTGAAAGTGTGGTTTTTAACCCAAAATACGACACTGATCAGGCTGCTGCAGCTGCACCTTCCCTCCAGGGCTGTGTGGATGGTGAGGGCTGGCAAGGTCACCGAGGCAAAGACACTGATATTCCTTTTCTAGCACTGAAAGTCACTTCAAAATTAATGTTTAGACACTGTTGACAGAACTTGTCAGTGACTCACAGCAGACTTTTCAGTTATGGTGTTTTAACAGCGACCTGCAAAACCAGTGTAAGCATTGTATGTTTGCTTGCAAGGGATACAGTAAGAAATATTCTAACCTCTTAACATTTACCCAAGTTGAATTAAATGTAATGGAGGACTCCAGTGTTGGATGAACTCTGCCAAAGACCAAAAAAAGCTCCAGAATGCAGCATGTCTGCCATGACCTGGAACTGTGTGAATCCTTCAGGATTCTAAAAGCCACTTGGGGGCTTATGTTGATCCAACAGAGGTTCATGTTGTGCTTGTCCTGTGTGAATAGAACAGTTTGGTGTTAGCTGTACAGGGCAGAAACACCATGAGCAGTGCAGAGGAGCTGCTAATGACTCACCCTGCCCAGTCCTCGTTTCATTTTGTCAGTGCCAACATGAAGAAGTGTTGATTCTTGTAAGTCTCCAGACTGAGAGCTGTGCAGAGCCTGTTCCCAGGACTTCAGGATCAATAACTCTCACTCTGTGCACCTCTCAAGTCCCACACTGCAGAGAGGTCTGAATAACTGATGCGTTTGCTTTATAGTTTTCCCTCTTGTTTAATTTAAAGTTTACAAATTACTGACATGTGTGGCCCTGACAGGGTTAGCTTAACCAGCTACAGATGCTTTTATGTGTAAATTTATCTGCGACTGAGAGAAATAAATCAGTGTGCTTGACTTTCTACTGTCCATGTGTCTGGTTGGTGCAGTGGGTAATGCAGTGGCATTCTCTGACTTGTTTTTTCTGTTTTTGTTTTCCTTTATTTTAACAGCATTGGAGGATGGTGTGCTGCTGCCTGCTTTCCCTCTATCTCAGGGTTTAAATTGCTTGCATTAGGTTGTTGCTTGCTCTGAGGATGTTTACATGCACATTGCTGACCCCTCTGAAGAATGGCTTGAAGCTGTGCAGAAAATTTACTTCCCTGTACACATTATCCTACACTGAGTTCACAAAGACAAGGATCAGCCCAGCCCAGAGCCTGGGGCTGCACACGCTGAGCAGGGATGGCACAAGTGCTTTTTAATGGCTTTTAGGCTGCTGTGTGGTGGGACAGCTGTGTAATGGTGAGAGATGCCCCTCCTGAACCAGCCCAGAGCTGTGGCTTCCCTCAGAGGGGTCTGGAGATGTTGGTGTGAATCTTTAGGGGTGTAGTTCAAATTTCTCTCCCGTCTCCCTGTTGTGGATGGAGATCCAGATCCATCCCATTTGTGCATTTCAGTGTGTTTGAGGAGGAATGTGTCCTGGTTGTGTCCCAGCTGGCAGCTCACCCCTGCCGTGGGGTGGGGGTGAGAATTGGCAGAGTTAGAAGTGAGAAAACTCATGGGTTGAGAGAAAGAGTTTAAAAAGTAAAGCAAAAACCCCACAAAGCAAAACAAGCCAGGGAATCCATTCCCTGCTTACCAAGGGCAGGCAGGTGTTCAGCCTTCTCCAGGAAAGCAGGGAAGAGAAATGTCATCACTCAAAATCCTGCTTCCTTCTCCTTCCCCAGCTTTATGTACTGAGCATGACACCACATGGTCTGGGATGTCCCTGGGCTCAGCTGTCCTGGCTGTGTCCCCTCCCAGCTTCCCATGCACCTTCCTCTCTGCGGGCCAAAAAAGCATTGACTGCCCAGCAGCAACAAAAACATCCCTGTTTTATCAACACTTTCCAGCTCAAAGCCAAGTCACAGCCCCATACCAGCTCCTGTGAAGAAAATTAACTCTACCCCAGCCAAAACCAGCACAGGGAGCAGTCCCCATGGGTACCTGCAGCAATGGACCACTGTTTGCCAAGGGTTGTTTTCAGAGGGAAGGGAGGTGCTTTTGCAGTTCTAGTTTTAAGTTGCCCAAGTCCCAGAAAGAGAGGAGATTTAAGCCCCCTTAGTAATGCTGTGTTAGACAGATTGGATGTCTGTTTGCTGGTTGGTCTGAGTTTTCCTGGTTTTCTCCATGTTGCCTGAATTCCCTGCTCACTGTGTATGGGTTTGGCTTGGGGTGCTGGGCTCCCACAAGCCCAGGGGGTGATGTGGGGTTCAGGGCTGCACTGTGTATTCTTCTTTCTGGATCAAGTCACTGGACATTCTGGCCATGCTTTCCTCTGCAGTGGTGGGTGGGGTTTCCAGAGCAACTTCTTTTAAGGGATTTTCTTAGGTTTAATCCCAGCAAATGGCAGGAGGAACAGTGGCATTGTCAGATTCTCCTGGTGTGTGCATTCAGTCCAGAACACTATAAACAAGAGACAAAAGAGATCTGAAATACAGATATTTCAGACCTGCCAGTAGTTCCTGTGCCCATTATGATACTTATGCAGAAGGCTAGTGCTCAGAAAGTTGGCAAAATTCTCCTGGCAAGGAGGTGCTCTGCTCTGTGAGAGCTTTCCAGGACTTTTCCTGGCAGAGGAGGAGACTGGTCAGTGAGCTGGCCTGGTAAAGAATTGTTCTTGTAAAACGGAAGAAAAAGTTTCACAGGATGGTAGTGTGCTCTAATGTGGTTTATTTAGTGGGAATGATTAGAAGGGGTGGCATTATCACCAGGTAGGAATTTGCAGGTGCTGTTTAAGGACAGCTGGAAAACCACGAGGCAGGTTAAACAAATTAGTTTGATATTTATGTTTGGTGAGTTCAGGTGAGCCTTTTCATGACAGGAGTGTGTGGTTTTTCACCAGCTCAGCTCCTCTGGGGCTGCACTTGCCTTCTCCTGCATGACGTGAATCAATCAGGCTTTTGCAGCCTCTCATGACTCCTCTTTCCTTCAGAAATGTGAGTCTCCATCCAGTGCAGTCAGGGGTGAGCAGGAGACATTGGATTACTGGGGATTTTCATTTGCTGACTTGTTTTCAAAGCACCCGTGGCTTGAATTTCAGGAACAACATAATGAAATAGAATCTCTAATTGGGTTCAGCAGCAAGAGTCTTAATAAATGACCTTTTAAATCTTATTTTGATTTTATTCAGGTGTGGTAGTGTCTCATTAATAATGATCCTGCAGTAGGTCTTCCAGTACATCCTATTTAATTAACAAAAAGGCTGTAAGATGTATTGGATGTTTTCAAAATGAAAATGGGAGTTTTTAATAGATTCTCTGATTAAGAAATAATGTTCTGCATACGTGATGGTGCCCTGGAAAAATATCACTTAACAGACTCAGATAAAGTTCTGAAACAAGCAGAACTCACTTCCTCCCTCAGCCCTTTCGGGCTAAAAGCCATTTACTTGTGATGTCTTACCTTAAGGGAGATGTTTAATTTCCTCTTACAGGAAGGGGAGGCTGCTGAGGAAGGGTTTCATTTGTTGTGTATTTATTATATATCAATTTTTTTGTTTAAAAGGCACCATATGTGAGGCAAAAGAAAGACCCTTACTTTGCTGATGGACAAAGGAAAAAGGACTGGCATAACAAAGAAGCCATAAGGAGGGACTCTGAACGTGTAGGTATGTAAGATTGCTATAAAAATGGTTTAATACAGATTGTAACTTTGATTTTATTTGGTAGGCTGAGTGTAGAACAACATGTTCAACATTAGGGTCAAGGTGATGTTCTTGACATGATGCAGCATTAAAGCCAGTTCATCTCTTAATCTTTCAACTGTGTTAATCCCACACAAATAAATCCCACAAAGTCAAATTCCTTTTTCGTCAACTCCACAATAACTATTTTGAGGTGCAAATGTATCACTTAAATCTTGGTGGTTTTATGACAGGTGGAAGATTGATTTTTAAAAAACTTACCCCCTCCCTCAAAAAAGTGTGCATGTACCTCTCCCAAAAATGGAAAATCCAGAAAAGAAGAATAAGCAAAATGTTCTGGACGGACTATAACATTCATGCAAGTCCATTCCATAATTCTGGGGTTTCTCTTGCATTGCAAATAAGGCCTGTTTTGAATGTCACAGCTTTACACTGATGTGTTTGCAAGGGCTCTGCCCCTCAGTGCGAGAGCACAAATCCATCTGTGCTGAGAATTCCAACAGTGCTGAGATACTCAAACCACATTGATTCTTCCCACTGTGAAACAAAAGGCATTCTGTAGATCTTCCACAGCATTGCCAAAACCCTTTCATCTGTTTCTGGTGTTAAGAGGAAGATTTTTACCTTTGATTTGCACAGCTGAGTGGTTTGTAGCAAAACTGCTTATCAGATAAAATTGTTAAATTGACGTGGTTGACCTGGTGCTAAATGACACAGAGCACAAAACTCATAAAGGAATGTTCAAAGGACTATAAGGTGCTCTTTTCTCTGCTATATGGATTCGTTTCTGGCCCGTTAAGCAGTAATTAGCAGCAATGATCTGTATTTACTTTCTGTCTATCCACAGGAAATGGAGAACAGGGAAAACCTTACCCAATGACTGATGCAGAGCGAGTGGACCAGGCATACAGGGAAAATGGCTTTAATATCTTTGTGAGTGATAAAATTTCTCTGAATCGTTCCCTTCCAGACATCAGGCATCCAAAGTGAGTATACAGTTTGCATTTCTAGGAGTGAAGGTTTGCAAGCCCTAAATTACCACCTCTACAGAAATATGTTCTTTTTTATTATGGACTCCTGTACCTTTGTTTATAAAATACAATCCTTGCACAGCTGGGTCCTGGTATTTCCTTAATAAAGGATGGTGTACAGTAATTTCAGTGGGAAATAGAAGAGGTAAAATCTGGGGGAAAAAATCATTTTTTGATTTCAAAAGACTTAAACTTGCAACCCTGCTCAGAAGAAATCTTTAATGTAACCCAGAGGTTCCACTTCTTATATTGGTCACTAGCTGGAAATGACTGTGGTATGCTCAGGAGCAGAAAAAGATGTGAGTAGCTTCACTCAGCTATGTGTGAAGAGTTTTACCAGGTTTATGGATTATTTTTGTGGACATCTTCCTCATAAAAGCAGCCTTATCAGAGTTTACAGGTGGAAATGAGTTCCAGTGGAATGCTGATTTTAGGGTTCATCTGGTTTTGGACATTATGCTGTAAGATGCTGTTGAACTGGATTTTGATCAAGCCAGAAGTTTTTCTCATGCAAAGGTGCATCACTTAGGACTTAGCCCTTGTTTATAGAAAGCTGAGAGGTTTTTAAATACTATTTGTGAGGTTCTTAATCTGAAAGCATTGTTAGACATTTAAATCTGAGATTCTTTTGTGTAAAGCTGTATTTATCACAATTTAGTAAATTTGAATTCAACATCTACTTTATTCACAAGTTACAAGTTCCAGAAGTCAGGTTTTATAATTTGCTAACTGCACAAAAGATATTACCTCTTCAGCTGTCACAGCAAACTAATCAAACACACTGGCTTGACACCCTTTCTCAGTATAAACACATAAAAAATAGTAGTGAGTGTAACACCAGAAATATTTTAGGCATGCAGCTGAAATGTTTAAACATAGAGATAAATCCGGTAACTGAAGATGTCTGTGCATCAGCCCATCCTCAAATTCTAGGAAATTACAGTTTGAGTTTACTAATCTAAATTCTACCTGACCTCCATTTACAGAGTCTGCCTTGGGTTCTGGGAACTTAAACATCAGATAATCAGATAACAAAACACCAGTATTTTGTTATCTGAGGGTTTAATGTGTTGCCTCACATGCTCCAGTGTTTCCCGAAATTGCGACTCGGTGTTCCTAATTCTGCTATTTTAACTTCTGTAAAATGTGAAACTTTTAACTCCAGCCCCAGATAAAGTTAATAAGTGAAGTGTCTGAGACACCAACGACTTAATCTGTGATTAATGGTGCTGCTGCAGTGGTTTTCTTGTTGCTTGACAAATCCTTTCCCCCAGCACAGCAAACTGTAATTGTGGGGGCCTCGAGCAGTGGATACACAGCATGTGCCTAGTGGGTGCTGGGATTAGCAGGACAGGGAGCAGGGTTGCCCATAGTGGGGATGTGCAGAGAAGGAATTCACAACTGGAAAGATCTGCTTGCATTCTCTGTGCCCATTACAAAAGATATCCATGAAATGGTATGGTTTGTCTAACTGGAGAGGTTGATGAGGGCAGTTTATAACAAAGGTAGGCTGAGACCTAGTCATAAAGTTACAAGTCCATAAAGAGTATTCCAGAAAGAAGGGAGCTGTGTTTTAGAGCCCCTTAGATGCAGTGAGGCAATAGAGAGTTTGGAATCATGCGCACAGACAGCAGGGAGTGTGAGGAGAAGGTGTCCTGGGGAAAAATGCATTGTCTGCCTTGCCCTAAGCTGTGAGGCCACAGCTGGGCTTCTCCCCAGCAGCTGGGGAAGGGCAATGAGGCAGCTGATGTGTGAGATGGTTTGTGTGGACTTTAATGTACCAAACCATGTGTCACCTCTCCTTTCTGTTAATTGTGGGACTCGGGGAGCTGGGGCACAGCATGTACTGGCTCTGCCTGGTGCACACATACAATTGTTTGTTTCAACAGTCATGTCTTCCCCTGATAACATTTCCTTTAAGCGCCTCTAGGGTTTTTAATATTAAATACTAATTTTGCAGGACTTGTAAAGCAATTGTAGATACAGTAGCTGGAGGGAAGCAATTTCTCTCCACGCTTAATGGTTAAACTTAATAGCTAAAGTTTTCCACTTGTTAAAATTAGTCAGAAAATTAGAGGATTCCAGTTTAAGAAGAGTTAGAAACAATTCAAGGGCTCTTAGTTCATACTGGAACAGAGCTGTAGCTAGTAGCTGTTGGAAAGGGTGGCAATGCCAAGGGCTGGATGAAAGCAGTCCCTGCAGCTTCAGTTTGCATCTTGCATCTGTGCATTGCAGCCACAGCCTGCAGGCTCTTGGCAGCACCCCAGGACAATTCATTACACCCAGAATAAGTTACTGTCCTCTCACACAGGCACCAGAGTAACTTCCTGTAGGCACAGATGTATTGAGCTTGTATAACATAGGTACATCCTTCTCCATGCCCTGGGAAAGGTACCAGGAAAAAGCTGCCACTGCCAGAGCTGCTTTCATTCCTGTCTGCCCTTCCGGGGGCCAGGGCATGGAATGAGTGCCTGTGTGCATGGAATTGTGCACGGAGTGACAGCCTCCCAGGTCCTGGCAGGGCACAGCAGCATGGGGGCTGTGCAAGGGACAGGGAGCAGCGTGGGACCTCCCTGCCCTGCTCCTGGGCACAGGGCAGCTTGTCCTGCTGGCATTGTCATTGTACTCTCCACACACCTCCATTCACACAGGTTTGTTCTGGACACAGGGGACTCCAGAGATGGAATAGATTTTTGACCCCTACTGAAGAGCTGCTGGGTGTTTTTTAACTACATTGGGTCGCTGTGTGGCCTCAGAGGTTACCTGTTTAACCAGGTGTAAAGTCCACTTATGGCCACACCTGCAGGAAAGTAAACACTGCACTTCATACTGCAGAATTTTATTAATGAAACTGCCCTACAAGGCAAGAGTTCATTACCGCTATTTCAAAAGTAAGAAAATCAATGCTCTCTGCATCATTTTGAGGAGTAAAGAACGAACTAAGTTGCTTGCTTGTAATTAATACAGAAGTGCTGGTGTGTTTTTTGGTGTGACTGGTGTGTTCTGGCAGCACCTTCTGACTTGCTCTGTCTGTGCCAGCTGCAAGAACAAGCTGTACCTGGAGAAGCTCCCAAACACCAGCGTGATCATCCCGTTCCACAACGAAGGCTGGTCCTCCCTGCTGCGGACGGTGCACAGCGTCCTGAACCGCTCTCCGCCCGAGCTGGTGGCAGAGATTGTGCTGGTGGATGACTTCAGTGACAGAGGTAGGGGGCTTTCCCCACCAGCCTTCCCTGCCTAAGGGATCACTGCACTTGCAAATATGTGTATGATCACCTGAGGTTTTTTACTCGCCAGCAGCAGAGCTCAGGGCAATCTTGCTCCAGTACATTTGAAAGCAGAAAATTCATGTTCCATGTTCAGGGTGTGATGGTTTAGCTGCTGCTGACATGGACTTTCCTGTGTTCTGGGCAATAGCTGGTTTTAATATTCAGCTAAGGACCAGTGTAGCCCTTAATGTAAAATGCTAAATGTTGACTGTTGAAATAACAAAAAAAAAAAGCCAAGAGCCGGGAATAGATCACTCCTTGCATTCTACTTTTTACTTTTTTTCTTTCTTGCTGCAGAACATGTAAAAAAATCCTTGACAAAAGATTTCCATCCCTCAGATGGGGCTTCTGTCCCAGATGGGACTGTCCATGATTTGACTTGCCTTGCTCATGAATTTTGTGCTCCTGAAAAGTAAATGTGTAGCATCCAAACCTTTTCTCTCCCTTGCTGGGAACTTCCCTCAATATTCTGCACTGCACTACCCAGAGTAGTCACTTTGGATTGGGTTGAAGAGCTGTCTGCAGAGGTGTGGAGTCACTGGCACCACAAATGGAAGAACCACTTCTCATTGCAGCAGCAATGTGTGCATGTAGCTGCTGAGATATTTTCCTCTGAGCCACTTAAATAGTGCCTGATGCAAATTAAGCTGCCCTTTGCCTTGTGCTTTGCACCCTTGCTGTGGTGGAAAAGTCAAGTGAAGGAGGAATCAATGCCCCTGTGATGTAGACACTGCATAGATGGAAAAATCCCCTGGGAAGTCTTCTGACTCATTTTGAAGAGGGCACAGTGACTTTGAGGGTTATGATCAGATCTAGAAACTCTGTTTTCTCATTTAAAATTACTAAGACTGTTTAGGTTTATGAGCTGCAGATTTCAAGACACTGGTATTACTCAAGTGAGGCAAAAGAGCTTTCTCTACAGCTCCTGAAGGATATATCTCCAGAAACCTGGCATCTATGAAGCTCCTAAATGATCTTGGAAACAAGCTTGTGAATATTTAGTGTTCTGACCTATACTGGCTTCCATATAGGCACTGCCCAGCAGCTGTAGTACTTGGTCTGAAGTTCTTCTCTCATTAGTTTGCAAGCAAGGCATGCTGCATTGAACAAATCAATGTTACATGAAATAAGCATTTCTTTAGAGAATTTTCAGGCTAAGGTGAGGAGAAGGAAAACCCACCTTCCTGACAAGGTCTTTTTATTGCTACTCAATCTAGAAGCAAATTAGACAAGCTCATGCTGTAACCACAAGTGAATTATACAAATGGGTTTGTTTTCAGAGAAGTGAAAGAAATGAAATCTAGTTTCCTGTGTATCTGTTTTCCTTGTTCTTTAGATGTGCTTCGACCAGGTGAAAGAGAACCCTCCTGGCTCCACCCCTGCTCCTCAGTCTGTACCTGTGCTGTTTGTCCAGCTTGCTCTTTGTTCCACCTGCCAAAAACAAAAGACAAACCCTTTTCTCCCTTGGTCATCCATCTTTCATACAAAGGTTGCAAGAAGTAGCTGGGATTCATTTGTGTGCAGCATCTATTTATAAATGGATATAAAAGATTCCAGGTGCTGGACAGTAGGCTAAATTGTCGAGGGAAGAGAATAACACTCAGTAAAGAGTGTGTTAATAAAAACTGGTGTGGGGGTTCTCTTTGGGGGGGACTTTTCTTGTTTGGATTTTTTTAAAAGCCAGTATTTTCCTGCTAGCACAGTTGATTTCTGCACACTGGGACAATTACTGGTTAGGATGAAACATCTTTCCTTCAGTGCTGTCAGTTCTGTATCCACACTTTTCTTCCTTAACCACACTGGGGTTGGCTTGCACATCCCTCAATGGGTTTAAATAGATCCTTAGTCTTAGGGGGCTCTTAAATCCTAATCACATGATCTTGACTTGAAAGGCTGATGGTTACAAATTTCTGGTAGTAATTTATCCATTGTTTAAAACAAACAAACAAGTAAAAAAAAGCCACCAAAAACCTAAATGGCAAACAATTCAACCTAGTAACAGAACTGATAGTTTAATGCATCAAACTGAAATGTATGAAGGAGCAGAAGTTCCAGGAAAACTTTTACTTGTATGTTATATGTTTGAAAAGAGCATATTCTTGGATTTGGACTGTTAGGCATCTGCTCTGGTTATCTGTTTCTTATTATTAAATTGGGCAGATAATAAGAACTCCACATCCAAGCTGATCATCACAGCTGTGCCACAGAACTGGAGAGCAACAGAAAGAATGAGAAATTTCTTGATTTTTCTTTGCAAATCATAAATGATTGGTCCTCTGCATTGTCTGAAAAGTATTCTGTATTGTCCTCAAGAATTCTGTGCTTCTGTTTAAAATAATAGTCCCCTAAATTTGTAGCAGCATCTTTTAAAGTTACAGAATCACTGTTGGATGTAGTGACAGTAGAGGCCAGGGCTGAGGTCACAGGGGCATAGTAGGAACAGCAAATGTCATCTCCTTTCCCTGAAGAGATCAGTAAATAGTCACCATAAACTCCAGTGAAAAGCCAAGGATGGAAAGGATAATCACTCAATAAAAATCTATTATTAATTATTTTTATGGAGATGTTAGTCTGACAGGATAAAACATTGGATATCTCTGCTGTATCTCATTCTGGCCTTTCACTCGAGAGTTGTCTAAACAGACCTCCAGAACTTTAATAACTCTTTAAAGAATATTCTTCAATAGCTTGACCTTCCCTGGCAAGGAGATTCTCTCTCCTGCCAGCATTTCTTGTGTGCTGACCTGTGCTGGGGTTAAATGTGCTGGGGTTTGCCAGCTGCCTTGAGGTGCTGGAATGTTTCTCTCTTGTTCTGCTGTTTCACTGGTTTTTGGGAATGGTGCTATTGGTGCTGGTCCATCAGCCTCTTCCATCCCTGTATCTCATACACAGAGAGCCTTTGCTGCACATGAAGAAAAGAGGATTTTAGTAATAATAGAAACAGTAAATGTTGAAACCTGGCTACTGCAAACAGTGTTTTTCCTGACAGATGTTATTTTCATAGTTTTTCATCTGGTTTTAAGCTTGAGTATAAGGAATTTTTGGTGTGTCTATGAAGAGGGCTGAGAAGTTGGCTAACAGAGTGACAGGAGAGTGAAGACAGATTTCTGGGTTAGTTGGTGGCTGCTGTGATCTGCAGCAAACCTTAGGGGCAGCTGTGGCTGTGCATTATTGGAGCTCCTGGACAGATGAATCATCATCTGGAAGTGTCAGCAGCCATTTATTTCTCAATTTGTTTGAAAGAGACAACTCTGTGACCTTTAGCAATAAACATTTTTCATCCAAAAAATGCTGTCCCGATGACAGGAAATCTTAACAGGGAGCAGCAAAAGCTTTACAAGTCATGTTTTTTAAATGTTTCCTTTGCTTTGTACTTGGAAAGTCAAAATGTGCTGGAACAACTTCTGTCTGGAATGGTTTGGGGTTTTTTTTTGTATGTCTGCAGTATAATGCAAATGATCCATATTGGCCTTTCCTCACCCAAATTTTGTGCAGAATTCCATGTCAGCCAGAGTGCTGTGGGAAAGGCTGCCTGTCAGTGGGGTCAGTGGCTGTGGTGGTTCCATCCCCTTTGCCTTGAGCTGCAGACCACATTGTCACCTCCAGCAGCTCCTTCCTGACACTTAAATCCTCCTCTGTGGGGATTCCCTTGGTAGGTTGGGTTCATTTAGAAGGAGCTGCTTTCCATCACGTGCCATTGGTCACAGCAGAGTGAATATTGCAGGGCTGGTTTTTACGTTCTCTATTTACCAATAGAGAAAGTCTGTGCTGTCAGGGTAGCATTGCATTAAGACTGCTACAATGCTTTATTTCCCTACAGACTTGATTGAGAGTGAGGTAAAAACTTTATCCCCAGTTCAGAACACTTGTAGGGATTTCTGTGCACAAGTAAATAGGTTATATTGAAAAGGGAGACACCAATTCAGCAAACTGTTGTTGGAGAATAAGAATTAACCTGCCCAGCACTGGCTGCTTCTTCCTGCATGGTAGAGAACTGCTAGAGAGCCACAGACTGACCTCCATGGGTTTGATGAACCTCAGCTCTTGCAGGGTGGTCCAAAATAATGCCTCCCCTTCTGGATAAGCAGAATTTGGAATGCAACACATGTGAATTACCACTCTAGAATTCCTGATTATAAAAACTCCTAGCTGTGGCAGTCCTGTGTAGATTTGTGGCTTCACTTTTAATTTCTATAGTTATTCTTTAGGTCTGATAGGGTAAATTAAACCTTTTCATATGCTGGCTTGCAGGGTACTAATTGCATCCCTCCAAGCCTGTTGTTACCAGAATGGCCCTAAGTAAACTAAAATGTTTTTTCCATGTATATCAGTTTTCTCCTGGGGACTGTCACGTGAAATTTATTTGCTTTTTGAATATCTAATTACCATGCTGCTGAGTGGGAATTTGGTTCTATTCTGTCATAGAAATGGGAGGAGGAGAACTGAAGTGGAATTGCAGGTCAGTTTGTAACACTGCAGCTTTTTCTGTCAGCTCTGATGGCATTTTGTTATTGATAGCTGACCACAAGTAACAGGCACTTCATGGTTCTTCAGGGTCTGCTTCAGTCCCTGGGCCTGCAGCAGAATTGCTGTGGTGAGAAATGGAGCTGTTCAGCTCCAGGGTCTGTCTTGTATTAAATGAATTGTTGGTCTCCACCTAATTCTTGTAGCTCGTGGACACCTCTGCTGTAAAAGCTGTCTCTGTCTGCATGAACAGATGTAAAGCTGTCCTCTGTCTCTCAGTAATAAATGATCAGCCCTGAGCTGGAGGAGCAGGGGGTGGCACATCCCTTTGCAGGATGCTTGTCAGAATGTTCTGTGCTTTTCACCTGGTAGGTATTTGGTAGCCCAGCACAGCAGTGGAGCATCAAACACTCCTGGTGAACTGGAACAGGTGCAGAATCACAATTAGTTGAGTTTGGAAAGGAAATCTGAAG